CTCTCTCTCTCTCTCTCTCTCTCTCTCCCCCCCCTCCCTCCCTTCCTCCTTCTCTCTCTGTGTGTTCAGTAACCTCACTGCAGTTGGTACGAATGAAAGGTTGTGTGACATGGCTGTCTGTCACAATAGCAATGAGTAACTTCATTGTAGTATTTTCACTGACCGTGTGTTGTTGTTATTTACTTACTTTAAAAAACAAAGTTTTTCCTTCCTCTGGGATCCTTAGAATGTCGAAGGGAGGTGCAAGTTTCGTTCCTAGGCTAGGTGTGTAGCGTCTGTGATAGATATGTTGTTCCAGGACCTTTTTAACCCCATCCAGCCCAGCCAAGTCTTTCTTGGTCTTCCTCTTGATTGGAAGCCGGATTCTCTGGTGTTGTGACCTCAAGCCGCTAGTTGTTATTGATCAGTCAATTTATTGACGGTATAAATCAAGGGTCAAATAGAATTACTGTTTTTTTCTTGTGACAGTGACTATAAAAGTGAATTTGCCTGTGGTGTATTTTTTGTTTTTGACATTAGTCCTTGATAATATGCAGCCATTTTGGGTTGAACATGTTGTCTTGATCATCTTTTAAATACTTCACCGTTCGTCTCAGAGGCTATGGACTGACAGTTTATCGGTCTAAAACTAAAATGCAAAGTTAATAAATCAAGTTTTTGGATAGGATTGTTTGTTTTCTGACAATACGTTTGATTGAAATAATGAAATCATATGAAATTTTGTTTTGCAATCTCAAATGTTCGTATGAGTCATATTATTGCAAGTGCCATGAAACACTTACTAAAACTAAAACAAAGCAAAAAATGCCATAAGTAGAATTTTTGTTCCTACTGATATAAATGCATGTGAGTTGACTAATGTCTAGTGGCTTGGTTCCTCCAGCGTAAAGTCTGTGGCTAATGTCTAGTGGCTGTGGGTGGTTGGTGGGTGCTCTGGTGTGGTTTGTTTCTTCTTTCCTATCAAACGTTTATCGTCTTTATCTCCCCTCCTTTTTTGTGTTTGTTTGTTACTCTCTTGTAACACCTCTAATCTTCGGCACTTATATGACCTTATTGTGTTGCAAGTGCCGTAAAACACTTACTAGAAATAAAACTAATGTCTAGTGGCTTGTTTCTTCCAGTGTAAAGTCTGTGGCATACTTGGAGTGTGACATCGGCCAGACAGAGTTCTCTCCCCCTGCCACCGTGTCTCTGCACATCATTTCCGAACCAGTGCTGGGTAAGTGTTGAATGCTACTTTTACGGAAATCTAGAAACAATAGCTTGATGTTAATGTTAATGAATAATAAATATTTGTTTGTTTCTTTCTCTGCATTGCATCATGTACTGATGTTAAACTATGTCTTAGATTGTGGGTGGTTGGTGGGTGCTCTGGTGTGGTTTGCTCCTTCTTTCCTATCAAACATCTATCGTCCTTATCTCTCCTCCTTCTTTTTTTTGTGGATGTTACTCTCTTGTAACACCTGTGTTCTTTGACACTTATATGACCGTATTGTGCTGCAAGTGCCATAAAATGCTTACGAAAACTAAAGATATGTTTTTGAGGATCTGAGAATACAAGTTTGTCTTTGTCTTGGAAAACATGTTTTCTCTTTTTTCTCGCATTGGTCTTTGTGGACTTGCCAATGCGAAAGATAAATATATGAAAATTCAAGAAATGATTTTACAAATAACAATGAGAACAAAGCCCAAACCAATTGGAAAGGACTTTTTAAATCAGTATTATCATCATCGTCATCCTTATTATTATTGTCCCTGATGTTGTTCGTGCCAGGCCTTATTGTTGTTTCTCCTTCCTTAGGTGCCCCGTTCTGCCATCAGAGACATGCTGAAAGGTTAGTGACGTGAGGTGCTCAAGTGTTTCTTCAGTGGGATCTCTTCCCTATGTGCCACATCATATGTTGCGGCAGTGGGTTGTTGGCGGGTGCTCTCGTGGGGTTTGCTTTTGCTTCTTCTTTCCTTTCAGACATCTATCGTCCTGATCTCTCCTTCTGTTTTATGTTTGTTACTCTCTTGTAACACTTCTAATCTTCGGCACTTATATGACCGTATTGTGTTGCAAGTGCCGTAAAACTCTTACTAAAAAACTAACTGGTCCCTATGTGCCACATCAGATGTTGCCGCGAATAAAATAATTTTTGTGCTTTTGTATGTGTTTTGTTTAGATGTCTGTGTGTGTGTGTGTGTGTGT